GGCCCAGGGGGCCGGGCCGGGGTCACGCACGCGCAGAGCGGCGGAGCCCGCCACATCCGCTACTATCCAGGAGCGTGGGGCCGCTGCCCTGCACCGTATTCCACCGAAGAGCTCCCCGGCGCGCGGTAGGTCGCGGCGGCCGTATTTCATCTGAAAGCTCCCTCGGGCTGCGCCGGAGCCCGCCGGCAAGTGCAGCCGCCTGCCCGCGAGGCGTCACTTCGCTGGTGCAGGTGCTGCCGCCTCCAGCGCCTGCCTCGTACTGGCCGAGCGATGCCTGGGAAAGGGATGAGGATTTTATAAGAACACCACACACACACACACGTAATAAAACCCCAAAACTAAAAGGAAAAGAAAAAAAAATAAAAATAAATCAGACACGCCAAAAAACATGCCCCCATCTGCACGCACAAGTCATCCCCACGGGGCCCAGCCAGGGAAGGGTAGGCCCAGGTCACATACAGACTTTCTGCACCCGTGTCTGCCCCACCAGGCCCAAAGCCGGAGATGTTCAGCGACAAAGGCCGATTTGGGCTTCCCAACCCGGGCCTGGTTTTCAAAACGCTTGCAGCTTCACCTGACTCCTGTTAGTTCCTACCGTAAACTATGTTCACATCTGTACGTCTGTTCACAGCATTTAATTTAATTTCACGTAAATATTAATACAAGAAATAACAAGAATCAGTATAGAAAGGCCTACTTTGAAAAAGAAAGGCAGTCTTCAAAAAATCTGATGCTATAACCCTGATCAAAGACCCCAGTGTAAATATACTTTAGGGTAGCCAAAGAAGGATGTTAGTGGTTTTCAACCTATGGTCAGGACTGTTGGGGGTCTGCAGACTATGTCTAAGAAATCCATAAAAGATTACTATGATCAATCAAAAGTATGTGAATGCTCACACTTACACTTCAAAGGAGTCCACACCACCATTCACAATTTCTTAGGAGTCCACAAATGAAAAAAAATGTTGAAAACCACAGCTGTAGATTATGGTTTGTGGTAGAAAGGTTGTTAGAGGCAGTCCTTTGACAGCCACACTAATTCAGCAGTCATCAGGAAACCATGAAGCCAGAACCAATAAACAGGGTTCTAGATGCCTCTTCCTGGCTCACAAGGGTAAAGGTATACCCACTGAGCTTGGTGGGAGGAGATAACAGCATAAAAAGGGGAACTGCTGGTCAGAAGCTGAATTGATCATTGCTTCCTTTCTTACCTGATATGATCTGCTCTAAACCCCAGTTCAGCACTTTAGACCTCAGAAGTGGTTTGTGTGGGAATTTAAGAGTGCTTGATTCTGATACTAAGTAAAGACAAAAGAGAAGTTGAGAAGGGGAAAGGAGGCAGCAAAATAGAAAAGTCAGCAGCGGAAAGCAAGGCACAACAGGCTGCGGAGGAGAACTTTTGAAGAAACAAAGCAGATAGCACATAGGAACATCTAATTGGGATGCAAACACTAGAACAGTATAAAGAATATCCTGCAAAGAGTCTTGAAGACAAGAAAAAAAAAAGCCATGGGGAGCTATAAACAACACTGCACTAAGGAGAGGCAAGGCTGTGCAGAAACCACAACTTCACACAGAGTACACACATGAGCTCATGGGCTTGAGGTGAAAGTGCCAGTCAGCATAGTAGAAGGCAGAGCAGATTTGCACCTTAGAGAGCAACTAAAGTACTGTAGATATATTTCATATAAAGCATGAGCTTCAGCCAACAAAAGCTTATTTCACCAGATACTATGAAAGGATGTGCACAAAGCAGTGTATAAAGACAGAGAAATTTGAATACAAAGAGACAAGGGAGCAGGGTAGTGCTGGGAGACACAAACAAGCAATAAACCCATAGGCAAAAGAAGTCACAAAAGGAGTCACAAAAACTAATGCAGGTAACAGGATAAAGAATACCTGGCTCCCATTTAAAACATACTTAACACAATCCAGTCTCTGGATGATTTCTTGTTCCAAAATTTCCCTTTCAGACTGGTTCTCAAAAGTTTGCTGCCTAAGAACAGTTGGCATAGTGACAGAAGGTAAAGGTTACATGCTTAATTTTAGCTAGATAGAAGAAGGGAAGTGAAAGATTAAGAATGCAGCATAGCAGGCAAAATAATGAGGTGTTTTCACAATGTTGACAAGAAGAATGGGAAAATTTCAGATTACAGAAGGGGAAACAACATAATAAGTCAACAAACTGTATATAAAAAGAAACGGAAAAATCAAATTAAAATCAAATTAATTCCCAATACGTAGATGTGAGTAATGAAGAGGATACCATAATTGTGTTTTCAACAGATATGGAAAGGGGAAGCTAGGAAGAGGAGTTGGATAAAAGGTTCAGTTTTTGTTGCATTCTACTTTAAAGAAACATCAAGACATCTTTTAAAAGATAGCAGAAGACACAAAAAAATGATGTAAAGAAAATCAAAGGTGGAAAAGTAAAGTGGAGCCTTATTCATCTCAAAGCTAAAAGAGACTCACCCATAAGGTCACACAGGGAGAAAGCAAGCAGGTAAACATAACCAAGCTCCTAGCAAACCCCTAACAGAGATAGGTGGGGAATAAGAAGAGAATTTCTTCAAATATGGTGCACTAGAGAAAGAACAACACAAAAAGAGAAATGGGAAAGGACCCAATAAAATCCAAGACAGAGGAGGTCTCAAAAAGTAGGTAAAATCAACAGGGTTAAAAAGATCAAGAATGAGCCCAGATAATTGACCTTAGAGTTGAAAGGGAAAGATACTCCTTTCCTTTTGCTATTCTTGTGTGGACAATGTCAGGGGAGGAGAGGGGAGAGGAAAGGGTTAACACCAGATTAGAAAAGTGGAATAACAGTTAAAGCAAAAGGTTTAATCACATACATGAATACTGTAGGTTCCTGTGAAACTTCTAGGTAGAAAAAAAATACTCCTGTGACAGGGTCTTCATATGCTAATCACATATAAAACTACAAATTAAAGAAATACAGAAAGACCTTAGGTTTATGGAACAGCAGGTTCCAAGGGAACATATCAGGCATCTTTAAAGCAGCACTATAACACTTTGTTTTTCCTGACATTTTGAGGGGTTTAAGGGTTGTCAACAAGATTAGAGGAGAAGTCTTGAGAAAATGCAAAAGGATTTTGCAACCTGTTCTGGTTAGTGCTGGAAAGCCTAGGAAAGTTCTTGCTAAAGGTATTTGAGGAACAGGATCAAGGGAAGGAGAAGTTAGCGCTTGGCAAGCCCTATTCAGACAGCAGTTCTGTGGACTTACAGGCCCCAGAGATGAAATATGGCAGCACTACTTTCCTTGTAGTATTCTCTAAGCAACTAGCTTCCCTTCCTAAGGAAACTATCAAACCTAAAAAGCTAACAGCTTCCTATAATAGGCAAAGCTATTCAAATAGTAAAACAGTATTACTAGACTTACATTTCAGAAGGGAAAAAGCTTAGTTCTCTTAGCAACTCTTGGCTAGAGAAGACCTCCATTTAATAACTCTACCTCTAAAGTTTCTCTAGTTTACAGCTTGCTAAATTACCTACCTTTAAAGGCAACCAGGTGGAGCATGCTCAGTATAAGGTAGAGAGATTCTTTAACACAGTTCAAGAGGGATTTTTCCTACATAATTCCTCCTTCTATTGATGGGAGTTTTGGAGGAAGAAAAGGTTTAAATGAGGAATAATTAAAACAGACTCTCTTTTTAAAAAGCAGTAAATGCTTCTTATTATGTGAGCCACAAATCACTATTAGAGTTTTGGGTTATGAAGTTTCTGGGACTAGTTTTGATAATAATGATTGTAATGAAGTAGGTGTTTTAGTTTTGCTTTTTTCTTCTCTATCTCCATGCCTTTCAAGTAATGCTTGAAGCAGTGTGTTTTGCACTTAGGAGGAGCAGACTTGTTTGACATAAAACAGTTCTTTGAGCAGATAGCAAAGCTAGGGATCTTGTATGTAGAAGGGGAAGCTAGTGATAAGATCAGGTGTTTCTGTGATGCACTCTTATTTATTTACAAAGAACATTAACATTTCAGTTTGCTAACAGGAGAAGAAACTGAACCACCACAGACCATTTTCTTTTCCCACAGCACCAGAGATCTTTCAACCAGCCAGCTTTTCAACTTTTCCCAGGACCACCCACCTTGTTTGTTTAGTCTCTATTAAAACTTCCTTCTCTCTTTTTCTGTGACACTTTTTGCCTCCCAAACTGAACTCTTTCCAGCCCCCTATTCCCCACAAGCTATATCCAACAAAGCCAAGTTGCCAAAATCATACAAAGTCCTAAACAGGTTTGTGCTTGCCTTTATTTTGGAGTAGTGATGTATGCTTAACTATCTCTTACAGATAACTGAAAACAGGAGTAGCCGTTAAACCTATCAGTTTCCTTGAGTTTTTTTAACCTGATTTATACCAGAACTTGGCAGTGAGTTGAGATTTCCAATTCTCCTCCTCAGTAAGCCAGTTTAAGGTTCCAATCCTTGTATTTCTGTATACCAGCAGACCTGGCTTACAAGGCAAATAGATCTTCCCCCAAGGAAAAGCCCCTGTCTCAGTGTGTTACTTAGTGGCACAGAGCTTTCAGTTATGACCCAGCACTGTAATATCTTGCAGTACCTTTCAGCAAAGGAGCATGAAGATGGGAGGAAGGAAGACTATCCAGAGCACAACTCTGCTTCAGAGATTCTGGGCTGTTGAAGTAGCCCATGCAATTGTGAATTAATTGGAGTGCTATGTTTGGATCCCATCACCAATGCTATAAGTAAGATTATTTGTACAGTCCTCGGCTTAATTTCCTCAACAATCCCTAATTATGTTCTATCTTCCTACTTTATTAACCTACACGTGCAAGTAAGTCAAGGGCCCAAATCATCTCATATTGCTAATCATGTTCTTAAGTGATGAAGAGTTAGCAGTGCTACAATCAAAGTGTTCTCAGCTTACTTCTGTTAGATCAGTTTCTCCAGAGCCACATCCAGCTCTAGGGAAACTGATCTACAGTTGGCTGATACTTATTCTATGATACCATCCTATTATAGTGCCATGCCCGAGGCTCTGGTATCTATATGGAAAGGGTTTGGATTCCAAGAAATGTCGTGATCTCGAAGAAAGAGACACTTAGAGGCAGAATTATCCTAGGAGAACTAGCATTACTGGCAGAGCCATTCCTAGGGCATGGAGAATTGGGGTGACTGCCCCGGGCCTTGTGCTTTGGGGCGGCCCCACAGAGCCAGGCGGAGTGGCCGTGGCCCCTCCCGCAGGGCTTGCCTGAAGCTGGCAGCTCAGCCCTGCGCTGCGGAAGAAGCATTGAGACCCCCTCCTCTTTGCGGGGATACCACGGCCCTGCACAGTGTAAAGGGGACCCCGCACAGGCTGATTTGCCCCGGGCCCCGCACCCCACTAGAGTCAGCTCTGACTACTGGTAACTATTAAATTAGTACTGTCATCTAGTTAATGTGTGGAAATTTCACTTTGGATATGTAAGAATTTAACTATCAACATCTAAGGCTGGTTAAAGAAAATGTATAGTTTTTTGTTACTGGGGAGAGAACTTTATAGCTTATGAATTTAACTCAGAAACAACCACCAGATGTATTTGCTGGGGGGCATGCATCACTAAGAGTATTAAAATCTCATAGTAAACCCAATCTCTAACTGAGTTCCTAAGCAGCTGTCATATTGGTGGGAATATCAGGTCTTTAGGTTCTGCATTTTAGACGTGGGGTCTTGTTCCCAACTCTTGAGAAGAAATAAATATGATGTGTTCTCCATGCAATGCCTCCTCCATGCAACATGCAGCAATACTGTGGTTTATGGACAGGATACAACTGGACCTGGACAGGTTACAGGGGTGAGTGAATTTGAATAGGATAGGATTCAATACTGACAAGTGCAGGGTACTGCACTTGGGCAGTAAGAACCAGCAGCATACCTATAGGCCGGGGAACTCCCTTCTCAAAAGCCCAGTGGCAGAAAGAGATCTTGGAGTCATTATCAATTCCAAAATGAACATGGGCCGCCAATGTGAGGACGTGGTCAGTAAGGCCAACTGCACCTTGTCATGTATCCACAGATGCATCATGAGCAGGTCCAAGGAGGTGAATCTCCCCCTCTATGCAACACTGGTCAGGCCACAGTTGGAGTACTGCGTCCAGTTCTGGGCACCGCACTTCAGGGGGGATGTGGCCAGCATCAAGAGGCTCCAGAGGAGGGCCACTCACATCATCAGGGGGCAGCAGGGCACATGCTATGAGGAGAGGCCATGGGACCTGAACCTGTTCAGCCTCCACAAGAGAAGGCTGAGAGGGGATCTAGTGGCTATCTATAAACGTACTAGGGGGGACCATAGGGGAATGGGAGCAATCCTGTTCCCCCAAGCACCTCCCAGAGTAACAAGGAATAACAGCCATAAGTTGTTTGAGAGTACATTCAGGCTAGACATCAGGAGGCACTATTTCACAATCAGGGCAGCTAGGATCTGGAAAAAGCTTCCAAGGGAAGTGGTGTTGACTCCTACCTTAAGGGTCTTTAAAAGGAGGCTTGATAATTACCAAGCTGGGGTCGCATGAGCTTGAACTTACCAGGAGTCATATGAGACCAGTATTCATTCCTGTCCAGGGTGGGTCGGACTTGATGATCTGCTCAGGTCCCTTGCAACACTACATCTATGAACCTATGAACCTATAGGCATGAGTGCCAGCAGGGCGGTCCCTAAAGTAGTAAAAGTTTGTCAGACACCCTTGCCCAGTGCACTGAGTGACTGAGCACCAATCTTTTCTTATACTAGCATAGTTTCTCAGAAAGCCCTCTCAATGAGTTTCTGCTTTCAGACTCAACAACACAAATAGAGGAAATAAGCAGCACACTGAGCAAATCTGTCCTGCAACTTAATTTTTTTCTATTTATCTCTAATTTTTCCTTCTATAAAGTCAGTTTATTTGGTGAGGCTGATAGATGGCTCTTTTATCTCACAGTAAAAAAAAACCAATAAGATCTAATGGTTGCAAGATAAAGCCAGACAAATTTAATTTATAAATAATCTATTTTAATCTGTTTAATGAATTTTAATAGAGAAGATAAACTGTGCTAGGACAAACTACCTAAGGATATGTTGGATTATCCATCACTGAAGCCTTTAAATTGAATTAATGTTTTTTTTAATGTTATAGTTTAAACAGAAGTTATGAACTTGATGCAAAAATTACAGCATAAAATCCTGTGGTCTGTGGTATACAGAGGGTCTGATTAGATTATTGCAATGTACCCTCTGGGCCTTAAAGTCTTACAGTCTATAAAATTATTCACCAGCTGTCTTCAGCGTTGGTAATCCTCTTCATCCAGGTGCTGGAAGTAATGTTAGATGACATAAAAATGTATACCTTTTGCACCATTTTCAAGAACAAGACTACAGACATATCAGATGTCTACTCAAACCACATAGTAAAACTTCAGACAGATTTAATGTCATAGATTACTAAAAGGTTTTCAATAGTTTCAAGATTAATTTATTGCTTTAGTTGGGCTTCATTGCACTGATTGTGGCTTGAGTCTTTGAAGAACAACCTGTTTTTGGAACTTCTGAAAATGTGGATTTTGTTTTGTTCTACATTAGTGAGTTAAGGTGAATGTCATACTGGGTCAGACAACTGGTCATCCTGGTTCTCCAAGTGACAAAGAACAGATGCTAAAGGAAAGAATATTTATGTAAAGCAGCGGTTCCCAACCCCGGGTCACAACCCAAATGTGGGTCGCAGGGGCAATCCTGGCAACGCTGCACAGAAAAGATGAGCTTCCCCGCCCCAACCCCTGAGCCGCCACTGCCGCAATCTGCTTCCAGTACTGGGGCGCAGAAAAAAAAGGGTGAGAGCCACTGATGCAAAGTCCATCCAAACTAATCTGTCCCCTGCCTTTCCCCACCTACAACACAGCACTCACAGCCAAAGTCCTAGGTTGCCTGCAGTCCCCACTTTTGTTCATATGTCAAGTCTCTGTAGATGAGTGTGTCTTCTATCATGTTTAATAACCGTTGACTGATCTATGCTCCATTAATTTGTCCAATCTCCATCTGAACCTGCTTAAATTACCAGCCTCCACAATTATAATTGACTATGGGATTTAATGTAATATTTCTGTTTTAAATGTGTTCATATTGATATAATGTACATGACTCAGTTTACCAATAAAGTTAGTACATGGGGAAAGAATGGGTTAAGGGGACAATGAAGCCAGAGTTGCTGACCCCTGCCTGGCAGAAGATGCATCCATCTACAGCAGTGGTGAGCAAAATACAGCTTGTGGGATCTGGCCTGCAGGTGATTGGTGACTCTGGCTGCCCATGGTGCTGAGCAGGCAGCACTGCCTTTCC